CCCCCCCCCCCCCCCCCCCCCCGCCAATAGAGGGATTAGAATTTCTGGGGGTGGAGGGTCCTCTAAGATCAAAACAAAGAAATGTACAAAGCTGAATAGGGATTTCCAGAAGGGTAGGAGGGCAGGGGTCTTAGAAAAAAATCCTTCCACAGGGGAGGTATGGATATTTTCTGGAACTACATGTACACATTTGTTTCATATGAAGAGACACAAAAATGTCAAATGACGTCATCCACGCATCTGTCCTCTAATTGATCATTAGTAAGAACCAATCAAAAATAAATGTGAGAATAATTTGCCATACTATATAAAGCGAGATAAAACATAATGAGGATGTACTAGTTTGAAATCCTGACTTTTTTCTGATTAACTTTGCATTCCAAATTTTCCATACCAATCCATAATTATTAGACCCATCTTCTTCAGAAACCCCACGCCTTATCTCCATGTAAAGTGGCTTCAAATTTCTGTTTACAGTTTCCAAGAACGTTTCGAAGTTCTCTGGAGAGCTGTCATCTGAAATTATGTTAAAAGAAACGCTCGATTATCATAAGCTTACAAGTTTGAGAGTGAAGGTTCGACGTCACATACAAGCGTTTTGACTTACCTCCAAATACCCGACACGCCTTCTGATACAGGGCTTTTGTTTCCTTTTCAGAAAGGAACTGCTTAGACATAAGACTTCGAAGAAAAAGGCGGTGAGAATCTCTCATTTTCTTTCGAATGCTAAAATTATTGAAATAAAACACTCAAAGATTCAACCAGAGAATTAGATGATGGCGGGAAAACATAAAGTGGCGCACCAAAGCAGCACGGGAATTTGCTCATCCGGGATAAGCCAGAATAACTTGGTACCAGTCCATCAGGAGACAAAGCGTGCCAAGATGGCGGCTAACAAGACTTCTGCCGCGAACAATCCTCCATTTGATGTTCCTAGTTGGTAAGATCTTGTGGATTTCCTGATCTTTTATTTGGTGTCGTAGCTCAAGGAGAGGTGATTTTTCTCCAGGGCAGGTAAACCGCCGCAGGGACTTCACTTAGATGTCATGAAACAGAATAATTTAGTTGAGGTGAGCTTGATCAAAACAAGTAGCATGTGATTTGAAATGATCACGCCAAACCTTAGATATCTAAATTTATCTTTAAAAATTATTTAATTATTTTAATCCTCTTAATTGAGAGCTTGATTTGTATTCTTTGTCGTTGCAGTTATAATGTTGATGTAAGGCACGTACGACTTGGGTTTTTAATATTATGTTTTTAGGGTTTTATCATGTGGTCAGGGCTTGCCCTTCTGGCAAGTTCTAACTATGATGACTATCTCAAAAGTCATTCTCACAAGCCCCCTAAAAATTTCATCTCTTACAGTACCTCTCTTATTTATATTTCCTCAAAAATTTCCCAAGAAATTGTGCTTGCTCATCTGGCAAGTTAATTACAGACAGAATCTACTAGCCCAGCTGGAAGATCCATAATCCCTATCGAGCAGGACTTTCTTTGCACACTGGTGATATTCTTGTACACAGCTTAGAAGTAGCATCCTCCCAAATTGCAAAATTGCTTCTGATTATAATCTCCTAGATAATAAGACCAAAAGAATCATACTAAGAAACCCTTTTGAACAATTAATTGCAGAATAATTTAATACATTGCACTAGAACAGACTGTGCCAACATTAGAGTTGTTTGTACAGCTAAGTTTGTGCTATATTAACAGTGGGTGAGGTTTAGGCATCTGGCTTTGAGTACAAGTGGATGTTATTACTCCTCAAACAGATTCAGTTCAATCTACACATCACTTGCATAGGAGCAATGCAAGTGATCTTGTGTTTGTGCACATATGTGTGAAGAAAAGGAAAACCTTGTTTTCTCTATTTAATATATTGCTGGCATTAGAATCTTTACTTAAATTATATGTGTTTGTGGCTTGTATTGAAGCATATTTAGCATTACTTCTATTTCTGTTAAAAAAAATTGTAAATGATAGGTAGTTGCAGACAACTTTGGAAGTATTGATGATATGGCATCATAGTGTGATATCAATGATAAATGCATGTCTTTTTAACCCCTGCCTTTAAAGAGCATCTTGTAACATGTTAAGTAATATTCCATAGGCTTATAATAATACCAAGTTTAACTGGGAAATCATGGCATAGAAACTGACGTAAGACTACACGTATGCATGCAGTCAAACCTCTGGTTGTGACCACCTCTCGTAAGCAACCACCTCTCGTAAGCAACCACCTCTCCTCAGTGACCAGTTTTCCAAAATAGCAAACATTTACAGGTCAAATCACTATATTTGGAATCTCCTATAAATGACCACCTCTCGTAAGTGATTGCAACCTCTTTTAGAGCTTAAAGTTTGAACTTTTCTGTTGTTTTTAACCTCCTGTAACCGACCACTTCACAGATAATAGAGTTAAAATTGGATAATAAGGTGTCACAACATCACATTCTTGGGTTGCACAAGAGATGGAATATCTCAGTGGGAAGTACCAGATCTTTTTCGAATTGACTTTTCACATGAATAAAGCATTTAAAACAGGGGTGAATCTCTGCAGTTACCTTAAGCTAATGAGGCAAAATTTTGACCCAATGTTGTCTAAGCTCTTGTAAATGACCACCTCCCATAAGTGACCACCAAGACTTGACATTTTGGGTGGTCGCTTACAGGAGGTTTGACTGTATTTTAATGCACAACAATTCTTGTTTTTGACATAGAAAATGATCATTGATCAGAAGTCGTACTACTTGTTTGGAAGAAACAAGGAAGCTTGTGATTTCACATTGGAACACACATCATGTTCTCGTGTTCATGCTGCTCTGGTTTTCCATAAACATCTCAACCGAACATTTCTGATTGACCTCAAGAGTAGTAAGTGTTTGTAATTTCTTATTTTGACGAATGTTGCAGTTGACTGAAGTCTATTCAACATGAGTGTTTTTGCCATTGTCTTCACTGCTCATTCTTAACCAAGGTGTGTCAAAATCTCAATGGTTAATTGACAACCATTATCCTTACTGTCAAACAAACAAACAAACAAACAAACAAACAAAACACAACAACTATTACTATTCAAATATCTCACTAAACTAAGTTGTATTCAAATTGGCAGAGTTCACAAACATAAATTTTGTGCCTGAAAATAATACAATCACAAATCTCCACAAAAAAGTGTTAGTATTGACAAAGACTGCTAACAGCAATTAAATTTGTAGTTCATAAGACAGAGGACAACTAGTTAGTCACTGAAAACTGTTCTCTCTTACCGTCTTTTAATAATAAAAGTTGTTACTCATTGAAATAGCAGATTATAACGTGAATCTCTTGTATATTTGAGTGAAAACTGAAAAAACTTAAGGCAAGACAGTATATAAAGTATCACAGTACGTCTAAAGTGACTACATCGTGTGACAAACGATAATACACTTCATTATTGCATCTACCACGATGAATAACAACAACCTTTTCCTTGATGTCACAGTATTTTTACACACTTATTTAACATTTTTCTTATTTCTGATTTTGTCCTTGTTCAGCACATGGCACTTTTATTGGCACAATACGTTTAGAACCACAAAAACCAACACAAGTTCAAGTCGACAGCGTGATCAGGTTTGGTGCATCTTCCAGAAGCTATGTTCTGCGAGAAAAGCCAGCCATGCCAAGTTCCAATCTTAAGCAGTCAGAAAATTCAGAAAAAATGGAGGACGAGACTGAGGAAGGCTCAAAAGGAGGCCTGTTAGGACTTCCAGAGTCAGACACAGAGTTAGATGTAAGCTTCATTTTATTTTGACAAAATTTGATAATTGAACTAGTGACACTTAACAGAAGGATGCAATAAGCAAAAGAATAATTGTGTCCTCCTATCAGTTTCAAATCAAGGGGTTTTTTAGCATTTTGTGCTATATCTAGGTTTAAGATCACAGGCCGGTGCAAATTTTTTAAATTTCCATAAATTATATTTTTTTATTATACCCTTGGTTGCAATGCACAATTCCTGGAATTTCCATGCAACCGACCCTCCCATCCCTTGCACGCAAAGCACTGTACTTTTGACTTGGACAGTAGACCTCTTACAGTACCAGTGTAGACTGGCAGCACCTCTCCAAGACTCTATAATTTCCAGTGTTTTCATCAAATAAGTAATTGATTTTGACTCCATGAACAGTACTTTCATTTTTTAGTTTTAACCTACCTGTTGCTTTACAAACATGCTTTGTGGGTGCAATTTTATCAGTCATACTGAGCTCTGACAGGTGTTTCAGGTCACGGCTCTTAATGAGCACCCTGATGAATGCTTTCAAACCCATTTTTAGTCCCTTTATTTTGTTTGAATCGACCATTGACATTCTTGCTAAAGAATCTGCTAGTACCTGATTTTACTTTTTTCATTTTAGGTAAAAAGACATTTGGACACAATGAATTTTCCTATTTTGATTAAATCACCTCTAAATCTCAGAATATTCTAAGCCTGGTTATTGTCTGAAAACAGGATCTGACAGAGTTCAACACTGCTCACAACAAAAGGATTTCATCACTCGGCATTGAGGAAGGAAGTGCAAATTTAGCTGGTGTTACATCCCTGAAGCGCAAAAGGAGATCGTCTTTATCTGTTGCATTTAGAGAAGGAGAAGAAATTATAAATCCAGGTACATGTAATAAGTTGTATTAAAATGCTACTGTCTGTCAACTGCTTTGTTGGGTAATGCATCTGTGTAGGCTGCTGCAGTAAGGTTTAAAAATGCAGCAGAATTGATCATCTTGAAAAATATGCTGCTTAGCTAAGGGGCATACTTTACTAGTTCATAACTCCATAGATCATAATCTAATGCATTGTTAAATATGATCTGTGTACAGTACTTTATCTGTTAAAAAGTGGTTTCTCTATATTTCAGAGGACATTGATCCCACTGTAGGCAAGTTCAGAAACATGATTCAGACAACTGTTGTTGTTCCAACCAAGGTATGTTACAGAAGTGTCTAGAAATCTCTATATGACTTTCTTCTCTCATCCAAATACTAATGACAGATCAAACACCCTATACTTCTTTTACCACCACGTCTTCATGTTAATCATCATCAGACCTTCAATGTTTTTCTCAAAATCATTAATAATTCATCAAATTCATCAGTCGTGCAAAAAATAATAATAACTCCACCTTTCTAGCCTCCCCATCCCCCCCCCCCCCCCCC